ACCATAGCAGGCCACATCGTACTTCGACAAGGCGGGGTATACTGTAGTACAGCCCAGCAGAACGCAGCAGGTCATACCAGACGTGTTCCATTATTGCCACCACAAAAGCAGCACATCTGCACATGATACACATAATCAATTGGAAGGCCAACACAGAACGCACCATAGTATACTACAGTGCAGGAAGGTCTCGTATGCAGCATCGCAGAAAATAGCAAACATACCATGCGCCATGTGGCGAATTGTTTCTTACGGCAATGGGAGAGGTAGTATGCCTTACAGAAGCCATATCATAACACATGCTAGCGGCAAACTGTAGCAATCATGACACACCATGCACGTACTACACTGCAGGACCATTTTGTGCGTTGAGTACATTCGGGTGCAATTTCAGAGTCTGAGTGCAATGTCAGAACAAGACAACAGTTACTTAAAGTGTACTTTTGATGGCAGTTCCACCGTTCCCTGGAAGAGTCTGCTTCAAATCTAGCAGGAGGTAAAGTATCCCAGCACGGACGAACAGAACATACCGTATCGTTAACGGTGGTAGCATGGGCATATCATAACATGTTGTTGTTTCGTAGCAGGTAAAGGAAGCAGTAAACGCGGCACCACATAGCAGGACATAGTCCGATACACCAAGGACATATAAACACAACAGAGCGTAGCAAACTCTAGCCAAAGAGTGCCGAATCGACCACTGCTGAACATCACTGACCAGAAAACATCGGCGGCCGTTTCATTGTGCCCTATCAAGCGCGACGTGCGCGACGAGGTCTGGCTGGCCGCAGGAACATAGAGGTGCAGAAACAAGGCAGCCGTCACGACGTAGCGCCGGTCCGTCCAGAACAGAACATCGTCTAATGTAGTAGTGCAGAACAGAACGGAAGTGATTATAACATAATTGGAGATGGTGGAATACAGCAGCGAGCGATCAACGGCGCCTTATCGAACGCAGCGTGCGAGCCGACGTCAGGCTGGCCACAGGAACATGTTACATATGAGCATAACCAGGGCGGAACATAACATAACGTGATCGAGTAGAATGCAGCAGCGACCGAGCAACGACGTCTTATCAAACGCGACATGCGCGCCCAGCTCAGGCTGGCCACAGTAATAAACAGTACCCGGCTCTGGAACAAACGCCGATTGTTTCGGCAGGGATCGCTCGGAACGCAATAATTTCTGATGTGTGTATTTACGCTATCGATCTTACGCTGGCCCCTGGGCAAGTCCGAAAAGCTGTTGGTCTCGAGCTCGAATCCGACGGGGCTTGTAACTGTCCTGGCCCGATGCTGTGTGCGACAGGCGACCCGACTCAGAAATGATGTCCACCTTCTTGTGAATACACATGTTGAGCGTTCC